AAAAAAAAAAAAAAAATGGTTGTGCCCTCTGGATAGCTAAAAATCCACAGATGAGCCTGTCTCCCTCTTTGCTGCTTCCTCTTCTATTCATCAGGCATCAGTGCAGTCCTCTGCGTGGCCCTTGGCTAGCAGTGCCGATTTTTAGGTTAATTCTTAGGTCCTAACACTTGGCAATATCCAAGCTGTCCATGCCTTCAGGATTGCTGACAGACCACAGCTCCCTGTGTCTCCTTTTATGGTGTTTCAACCAGGTTCTTCAACTAGTTGGAGTTTAGTTCATTTCTGTATCCTTCCTTTCAAAGCTCAGGGTTCTAGGATTATCTTCTGTGTCTGTGTTAATTGGTTCCCCTTTTTTTGTTGAAGAGGATCTGGGTAGTTTGTCTGCCTATTCCTCCATCTTACCAGAACTTCTCCCTTAGTATGGATTTGAAGAGAACTTCATATAAGTCTTTGAAACAATAAGAGAGGGAGCATCAGGCAAAAATATAGTACCTTCTTTTCCATTAAAGGTTGTTGTTGTTGTTGTTATGTGCCGTCGAGTCAAACCCGACTCATTGCGACCCCTCCTTGGGTTTCCGAGGCAGTATCACTACGGAAGTAGGATTGCCCAACCTTCCTTCCGAGGAGTGGCTGGTGGGTTTGAACCGCCAGCCGTCTGGTTAGCAGGCAAGTGTCTTAGCCACTATGCTACCACAGCTCCAGTAAAGGTAATTCATATTAAAAACCAAACTCACTGCCGTTGAGTTGATTCAACTCATAGTGACCCCTCCTTGGGTTTCTGAGACAGTATCTCTATGGAAGTAGATTGCCCAGTCTTCCTTCCAAGGAGTGACTGGTGGGTTTGGACCACCAGCCTTCTGATTAGCAGTCAGATGCCTTAAGTACTACTAGATTTGTATAAATAGATTGAATGCCTGTGACAAATTGTGTCACACCATGTAGAATACGGAAAATGACATCTTAAGGAAAAGCTTTAATAGCATGAGGATTATTATGTTTTATTAAAGTTTTCTGTTAAATTAATTTTACATTTCCTCTTCCAAAAGACAAAGCATATTGACATTTCTAATATCCAGCATTTTATCCTTAATTGGAGATAAAAAATTTTGTTGTTGTTGTTATGCATGCAATAAAACTTGGGCAATAAATACAGATTCAAAACTGATATATGGTACTTAATTTGTCAAAGCTTAGAGTTCAATTACCTTTAACTTTTGTTTTTTGCAATGCTAAATTTTGTACCTTATATTTATCAAAATAATTATTTATATATTTATTTAGATAAGTTATAACATTTTCTCTGTGGAACTGAAACATGAATATAAAGCTATACACCTAGGCTATATTAACCACTGGAAAATCTAAGTTGTTTAAATTAGAAGTTTATTTCTTGTTTTTATCGCTTGTCCAGCATGTGTCACCTGGGGGCTCTGCTCTGCTTTGTTGTTATAATTTTTTTGAGATTCAGGTTGAGGAAACAACTACTGTCTGGAGTAAAGGCAGAGGAGAAAGAGAGTTCTGGAAGGCCTTGCCTCTGCTTTGCAGAACTGCTTGCTCACAGAGCACCAGCTAACCAAACGGGCAGTAGGAAGTGCAGTCCCATCATGGACCCGGAAGGATGTGGATTGAGGCAGCATGGAGGGAGGGTTAGGATAGTGGGTGAGAGTACTGGAGTGTTTGACAAACAGCAATAATGAGGACACACAACTTTTTGTGAAATACTTTAGTTTTAATAGGAGATTAATGTGAAACCGCTGGGTCAATATTGAACAGTTCTTTTTAAAAATTGAACTTTAAGTGAAATACTGTTTATTTTGTTTTATAGAGAGATGTGCCTGTGGGATGTAAATGATGGCAGATGTATTGAATTTACAAAGTTAGCCTGCACACATACTGGTATACAGGTTAGTATCTGTTTTTGTATATGTTTAAAAGTCAACACAATTCATTACAATAGCAAAATCTACAAATTAAAAAAAAAAATGTTTTAAACATTGAGCCTGTATTTTTGTATGAAAATGGCTGAGGAGGGATATAGAAGAAGAAGACTAGAATTGGAGTAGTGAAAGTATTTCTCATAAGATGGTACAGTGGGAAGGTAATAAAGAGGAGACTAGCAGGGAAAGACGTCGGGTGAGCTAATCACTACCTGTGCTCCTGCTGTAGCTAGCTGTCCTGCTCACCTGGGTGAGCCTCGTAACTACTTGGGTAAGTGCTCTAGGTCCTAAATAATGGAAGTCTCTCTTGCCAAAGCCTTTGTGATTCCACTGGTGATTGATACAAACTAACCTGTTTTGGAGTCTATATCTTTTATGTTTCTTGAGCTGTTAGTCCTTGGGTACATTTTTCTTTAAAGGCTTTCCAACTTTTCAGAAGAAATGACCATGTTGTATCATATGTAGAGTATTGCCAAGGATTTTTGGTTTCTGAGTTACATTTCTTGTTTTCTTTTTTACTTTTTAATAATTGTCAAATTCTGCTTCAAGTTACTGACTGCTTACTATGTTAAATAGTGGGAAAGTTAAAAAGTATATAAAAAACATGATTTCTGTTCTGAACAGGGCAGGATAGGGAAGAGAACTCACATTTATTGAGCACATACTTACAGACATTTCTTTTCAAAATTTTTTTCTTATATTGCAGTTGTTGAGAATATACACAGAAAAACATAAACCAATCCAACACTTTGTACATCAACAATTCAGTGACATTGATTACATTCTTTGATCTGTGCAGCCTTTCTCACCCTCCTTTTCTGAGTTGTTTCTCCCCAGTTAACATAAACTCACCGCCCCTTCATTTCCTGTCTGACTTTGCAGTTACTGTTATCACTTTGGTCCCATAGAAAGAGATCTTGAAAGAGCACAATGTTCAAGGCAGACATTCTTTAGTATTTGAACTAAACTAAGTTGGAAACAGAGAAGAAGCATTGGTAGTTGGAAATGATGCCAGAGATTGCATGACAGAATTTTGCAGAATCAATGACCTATTCATTGCAAGTACCTTTTTTAGCAACATAGATGACTGTATGTGTGGACCTTGCCAGAGGGAATACACAGTAATCAAATAGCCTACCTCTGTGGCAGGAGGCAGTGGAGAAGCTCAGTATCCTTGGTTAACAAGGCCAGGGGTCAGGTGTGGAACAGACCATCAGTTACTCATATGCAAGTTGAAGTCGAAGCTAAAGAAATTTAAACAGATCCACAGGAGCCAAAATATGGCCTTGAGTGTATCCCGCCTGAATTTAGAGACCACTGAAGAATAGTTTTGATATATTGAACAGCAGTGACTGAAGACCAGTTGAGTTGTGGGATGACATCAAGAATGTCATATGTAAAGAAAGCAAAAGGTCATTAAAAAGACAGGAAAGAAAGAAAAGACCAAAATGGATGCTAGAAGAGGTTCTAAAACTTGTTCTTGAGCGGAGAACAGCTAAGCAAATGCAATAAATGAGGAAGTAAAAGATCTGAACAGAAGATTTCAAAGAGTGACTTGAGAAGACAAAGTAAAGTATTATGATGAAATGTGCAAAGACCTGGACTTAGAAAATAAAAAGGGAAAAACACACTCAGCATTTCTCAAGCTGAAAGAACTGAAGAAAAAAATTCAAGCCCTGAGTTGGAATATAGAAGGACTCTACAGGCAAAATATTGAACGATGCAGGAAGCATCAAAGTCAGTTAGAAGGATTATATAGAGTCACTGTACCTAACAGAATTGGTCCATGTTCAATGATTTCAGGAGGTAGCATATGATCAAGAACTGATGTTACTGAAGGTAGAAGACCAAGCTACACTGAACTAATTGGTGAAAAACAAGGCTGCAGCAATTGACCCAATACCCATTGAGATGTTTCAGCAAATGGATGCAGTGCTGGAGGTGCTTGTCTATGCCAAGAAATTTGGAAGACACCTACCTGGCCAACTGATTGGAAGAGATCCATATTTGTGCCTATTTCAAACAAAGGTGTTCAATGAAGTGTGGAAATTATCAAACAATATCATTAATATTACATACAAGTAATATTTTAATGAAGATAGTTAAAAAATGGCTATAGCAGTATATTGACAGGGAGCTGCCAGAGGTTGAAGCTAGTTCAGAAAAGGATGTGGAACAAGGTATCAGATGGATCTTGGCTGAAAGCGAAGAATACCAGAAAGATGTTTACCTGTGTTTTATTGACTATGCCAAGACTTTTGACTGTGTGGATTGTAATAAATTATGGAGAACATTGTGAAAAATGGGAATTCTGAAACAATTGTGCTCATGAGGAACCTATTTATAGACAAGGGGCAGTTGTTCAAACAGAAAAGAGTATACTGTGTGGTTTAAAATCAGCAAAGTATACATCAGTGGTTAGTCCTTTCACCATACTTACTCAGTCTGTATGTTGAGCAAATAATCCAAGAAGCTGGACTGTATGAAGAAGAATGGGCTTCAGGATTGGAAGAAGACTCCTTAACAACCTGTAGTCATGCAGATGACACAACCCTTGTTTGCTGAATGTGAAGATGACTTGAAGCATTTACTGATGAAGATCAAAGACTTTAGTATGGTTTATATCTTAACATAAAGAAAACAAAAATCCTCACAACTTGACCATAAGCAACATCATGATAAATGGAGAAAAGATTGAAGTTGTCAAGGATTTAATTTTACTTGGATCCACAATGAATCCACTAGAAGCAGCAGTCAAGAAATCAAAGGACATTGGGCGAATCTGCTGCAAAAGACTAAAGTGTTAAAGAGAAAAGACTGAGTCACTTTGAGGACTAAGGTGTGCCTGACTTAAGCCATTGTCCTTTCAATTGCCTCATGTGCATGTGAAAGCTGGACAGTGACTAAGGAAGATGCAGAAGAATTGTTGCATTTGAATCATGATGTTGGTGAGGAATGTTTAATATACCGTGAACTACCAGAAGAATGAACAAATCTATCTTGGAAGAAGTGTAAGTGGAATGCTCCTTAGAAGCGAGAATGGCCAGATTTCATCTCTGGTCTGTCTTTGGTCATGTTAACTTGATGGACCGGTCCCTGGAGAAGGATATCATACTTCGTAGAGGACAGGCGGTACAGGGGAAGTTCCTCAACAAGATGGATTGACACAGTGGCTGTAGCAGTGGGCTCAAGCATTGCAGTGATCGTGAACATGGCACAGGACTCGTCAGTGTTTTGCTCTGTATGTCTACACAGGGTCACTATGGGTGGAAACCTACCCAAAGGCACCTAACAACAGCAACAGGTGTTTGATTTTAAAGAGACTTCACTTTATCTCAGGTCAGTGGTTTCAGGGATTCATGTATAGGCATTTCTTATATGGTATTTCATTGATCACATCAGATCCCAACAAATTACGTAGAAGCATGTCATTTTACATGTAAGAACTCAGTGATCCAGGTCAATTAAGTGACTTGCCCAAGTCTTATGGTGAGTTATTCCTGGCTCCAGGATCCCAAATCGGGTTTCTCCAACTCTAGGGACTGTTTTTTCTGTTATATCAAACTGTCTCCCTTCAGACAAAGTCCTTTGTTTGTTGAGAGAGGAAATCGCCTGTGATTACACAAATGAGAAAAGCAAGGACGATGTTTGCGGGAGGTAGTAGTTAGTGAGTTAGGTTTTTTGTGACTGTATTTCTTGCCCTGTCAAATACAAACCGACCAATTGCTGTCAAGTTGATTCTGACTCGTGGTGACCCCATGTGTGTCAGAGTAGCCCTGTGCTCCGCAGGGTCTCGGTGGGCCTGTGTATGGACTTGAGCTGCCACCCTTTCCATGGCAACTGAGTGCTTAACTGTTTGTGCCACCCAGTCACTATTAAAATTGCTTCTTCAATGCTGCTAGAGTACCCGCCTTTGATTGAAAGGGCATATATTGCTTATTTTTATTATGTGAAGAATCATTAAAGTTTGTAGTGAGAAAAGGGCAATTAAAATAATGTAGATTGGTTGACTTTATAGACAGTTTGTTGTTGTTGTTACAGACAGTTTAGTCTTGTTTAAAGCTACATGTAAATGTCATAAATGCATTCACTATAAATATTTTGACTGTAGTGTATAACTTTATGGTTTAAAAATTTTTGATCCACATTTTAGGAGAAGTGTTTTTATTTATTCATCTTATCTTTAATGCTTTCCATTTATCAGGGCCTGCAGTAGGTCATCTGCATTATTTACAGTGGTAGCCATCTCTACGTAGAAGATATGTTTTGGCAGGTTCACTAATGGGGTGGCAGTTTTTCCTGTGTGATCGTCAACTTCTTAGGTCCAGAAATGTGTTTTTTCGTATTTGCAGAGATGATAAATCTTTAGCAACACTAGAACTTACAGAAATCACAAGGAGATGCCAATTTATTAAGTTATCAAGTGCAACATCCTTTCTTAATGTTTGAAAAACTTACTTTCTCATTCAGGACATTTTCTTTGCCAGTATCCAAGCATCTTGGAGCTAAATTAATGTTCCAAAGATTGTTTAGGAATACAACATTAATACAAAGGTTGTTGTTGTTGTTATGTGCTCTCAAGTCATCTCTGACTCATAGTGACCCTTCCTTGGGTTTCTGAGGCAGCACTTGACTGGTAACCAGAAGACTGGTGGTTCAAACCCACCAGCCACTCTTCGGAAGGAAGGTTGGGCAATCTGCTTCCCTAAGGGGTCGCTATGAGTCAGGTCTGACTCGACAGCAAATAACAACATCACCACTATGGAAGTAGATTGCCCAAGCTTCCTTCTGAGGAGTGGCTGGTGGGTTTGAACCACCAACCTTCTGGTTAGCAGTCAAGTGCCTTAGGCACTATGCCACCTTGCACTGCCATCGAGTCAGATCCGACTCATAGTGACCCCTTCTTGGGTTTCTGAGGCGGTATCATTATGGAAATAGATTGCTCAGTTTTTCTTCCGGGGAGTGGCTGATGCGTTTGAACCACCAGCCTTCTGGTTAGCAGTCAAATGCCTTAGGCACTATGCCAGCAGAACTCCCCAAAACAGAAGTTAGGAGGCATTTAGTCAGGCCAGTCTAATAAAACATTCCTACCACAGGCAAGACCTCTTCTGTAGTGACCATAGTACACTTGTTGCTCCTGGCTGATAGTGGAGGAACATTAAGAAAGTTTGCTTCTCTGCACCCATCCTTTCCTCCTTGAGATGCGCCGAGACTCTGTCTAGTTACAACATTATATGGAGTGACTGCCAGTCCCTGGGACCTCCATTTGGGTGGTGTGTTTTGTGAACCAACTTTCTGAGATCTAGAGATACTCCCCTGCAGTAGTCTGCATTTCATTAGACCATTTCTTGTAGTTCTAGTGGTGCTTCTTTGGTCTTGTCAGAAGAAAGGCCTGGAAATCTACTTTTGGAAAATCAGCCATGAAAACCCTGTGGAGCACAGTTCTTCTCTGACACACATGAGGTCGCCATGAGTTGGAATTGATGGCAACTGGTTTAGTTTTTTTTCTTACTAGTACCTGTTCTTATTTAATGCACTCATTGATTAATGCTTATGTTTAAGAAGTTTTACTGCTTCTTATACTGTGCACTCTGTAATTGACAAAACATTGTATTCTTTCACACACAGTGTTGAGCTCTGAGAATAGGAATTATGAGTGTGGGAACAGGCTGGACCCAGAGTTTCTTATTTCCTCGTTGATAGAATAATTACAGCATTTCCCTTTGTCCTTTCACTAACTTGCCCATGTGTGATTCACTATAAATTCCAATCCCTTGAGAAGTAGTAGTCTGGATGTTACATGTCTTCACCTTCTAAAAATCCCTTAGGAGAATCAGTTACTAAGAGAGTCACTGTTTTTTTAGAGGCTTTGACAAGGTTGTTGGACTCATTTTGCTAATTATTCTTCCTCTGCTCCTTGGTTGATGGAACCCATCTTATCCTCTTGAGCAGTTCTTGGCATGAGTAACTTTTAGATAATGATTGCATTGGTTCTTCTTTTATTTTTGTTTCAAGCAAAGTGTAAATGCATGCTATCAGAATGGTTTACACGGTTGTGTCGTATTCTGCTTTGAATGCACTTCTGATTATAATATATTTGAACATCAGTTCTCCTTTACTACTAAATTTTATTTGGTCATAAGCTTGTAATTATAAGCTTATGCTTGCCTATTCCCATTCATCTAAAATTCTTATTTTTTGGCCCACCAGAATACTCCTTTTGCCTTGATTGGTTAAGCTGATTTTTTCCAAGTGTTTTATTTATTCATTCTACAACCTGTTTTAGATATTAAAAGGGAAGAGAAAGAAAAATTAAGCATGAATTCAGCCCCAAAATGTTTGAAATATGTTAGGAAAATAATAACTTTTGTAAGATATTTTAAAATGTTACAGAATTAACTTGATATTTGTATTTGTGTGTACGCATGCACAAATAAATATAACATGTACCAAATAAGTATGTGCCTGGAAATATTATCAATGAAGTTGAACGTTTAGGAGAATATCATAATAAGCTTGATGAATGTATACACAGCAAAGGTATCTAAACTAAAGGATATCATTTAAATGTCTTTTTCCTTTTGACACGAATTTAGTACTACCAGTTCTCTGTTGGAAATCAGCGAGAAGGGAGGCTCTTATGCCATGGACATTACCCTGAAATCCTCGTTGTGGACGCCACCAGCCTGGAGGTGTTATACTCCTTAGTATCAAAGATATCACCAGACTGGATTAGCTCCATGAGTATTATTCGATCTCATCGAACACAAGGTTAGTTGATTATGCTTTTTAGAAATGTTAGCACCATGATTTATTAATTTATTGTAAAGTCCTATAGCTTACCATAAATTAATATTTTGGGTTATATTGTTCTGTTTGGGAGCTCTGGTGGCATAGTGCCTAAGGCATTTGACTGCTAACCAGAAGGCTGGTGATTCAAACCCACCAGCCACTCTTCGGAAGGAAGACTGGGCAATCTACTTCCGTAGTGATACTGCCTTGGAAACCTAAGGAGGGGTTGCTATGAGTCTAGTTGACTCAACAGCAGTGAGTTTCTTTTTTTTTTTTTATTGTTCTATTTAAGAAATAGCTATTCCAATAATTTATGGTCTTTCTTCTCCTTCATGAAATAGTCTTTAATTGAATTAAGATGTACAATGTTACATGATCTCCATTACATGGGATCGGTCACTAGCTTGGCAATTTGAGAGTGTTGGGTGGATTTCTGAAGTGAAGGAAGAGTATCGTATCCCCGAGGAGGTGTGGAGGAGTTGTAGTTTTACCTGTGCAATTCTGGAGCCTGGGTGTCACTTTCTTAGGTGAGTAGAAAGTGTTTCCATTTCATATAGAGATAATGAAAAGGGAAAACATATACCAAAACACACTGCCATCGACTCATATGACATTATACATAGTTAAATTTTTTTTTTAAATTTTACTGTGATTTGGTGAAAGCTTGCATAGCAAATTCATCTTCCATACAGCAGTTCAGATACACTTTGTTTCATGACATTGACTACAATATTCCACAATGCAACAGCTTCCCTCCTGCTTCCTCTCCATAGCCATCACTTCCCTGTATCCCTCCCTCCATGTGCTCCTGCCCCCTGAGCTGTCTCCCTGTGCATACACAGCCCTTCTATTCTCCCATGATTGTTCTCTCCAAGGAGTGTATCTACCTAATATAAATGTTTAGTTCATATGCCTGTCTTTTGTTTGGCTGGAAGCCACATGAGTGGGTTCATTTCCAGAGCTGTGGGGCAGTGAGGGGCTATAGTCTCAGTGGTTCCATTAGGCTCTATCAGACCAGCGAACCTGGTCCCTTTCTTTAAATTTTTAAAATGATTTTGAGTTTTGTTGCACATTGTTTTCACACTCTATCCAGGATCTTCTACATAGATCTCCCTCCAAGTGGTTGACAGTCGTAGCTGGGCACCATCTAGTTCTTCTGGTCTCACAGTCATATAGGGTGAGGACAGCATGGTGTACCAGTCGCCTGGACTAATTGTTTCCATGTATCTTTGATTATCTTCATTCTTCTTTGCTCTGGATGAGGAGAGACCCATTGTTGCATCTAGATGGCTGCTTGCAAGCTTTTAAGATCTCAGTCGCTACTTCCTAAAGTAGGATACACAGTTAAATTTAATGACTGTTGCTTGTAAGTGCCTAGTACATAGTTGATGCACAATAAATACTAGTATCCTTTCTTCATTTCTATTGAAAACCTTTTCAGTAACAACTCTGAGAGTGAGAATAAAATTGTTCAGGAAAAGAGCAGTGATTAAGGTTGAGCATCAAGGGTATATTCTTACAAGCCTTTTTAGGAATGTTTTATTTTCTCTCAAATGGCTTCATGGTTATAGTTTCTTCTGTAAAGTCTGACCTATCACCAATACTAGCAGCACTTCATTTCTTGAGTGCTTATAGTATGGAGCACTGTGCTAATAAGCATTTACATGTGTTAACATTCTTACAATGCCCAGTGGGGCAGGCACTGTTGTTTTCCAGCATGTGGATGAGCAAGGTGAGATTTAGATGATGGAGCCTTTGCCTAAGATCCCAGAGCCAGCATGTGGCTGATGGGACCGCTTGGCCTCCAGTACTGTTACGCTAACCATTGTGTTACACTGCCTCACATCAGGGATTCTTTCAGTTTTATGGAGCTTTCATTTTTATCATTTAAGGTTAGAAATCACGCAGCTTTTTATTCAACAGTGATGCAGCAAATGTTTGTTGAATGCCTATTAACTTCTAGATGCAGTGGATTGAACTACTTATGGGACTCAAAATTGTAGTAAGATGAAAGATACATAAACAATGGTCAGTTTCATGTGTGAAGTGTAACAGTAGTGTGACAGAGAGACATACCCAAGGTGGAGAAAGTGCAGAGAGGATGGAATTAGTGAGGGCAGTGAAGGAGCTGGAGGGCCTTCTGATGACTGCTGGGATAATGTGAAATATGATCTAGCATTTGGAAAGTGGGAGGAGTTGGTCTGGCTGACATAGAGATCAGGATGTTTCTGGCCGAGGAAATAGTCTGTACAAAGGTGCAAAAGTCTTACAAATAGTCTAGGCATGTGTTAGGGACTGTAGATGATCTTTTTCTGGGCTAAGAAGTGTGAAGGGAGGAGTGGCAGGGTATGAGGCTTGCAGTTTTGGCAGGAATTAGATCATGAAGGACCTTATATGCAAAAGCAGCCACAGACAACATGTAAATGAATAAGCCTGACTATGTTCATTTAAGGAGCTCTGGTAGCATAGTGCCTAAGACACTTGACTGCTAACCAGAAGGCTGGCAGTTCAAACCCACCAGCCACTCCTCGGAGGGAAGGTTGGGCAATCCTACTTCTGTAGTGATACTGCCTTGGAAACCCAAGGAGGGGTCACTATGAGGCGGGGCCAACGCGATGGCACATAACAACAACAACATGTTCATTTAATTAGTTCCTGGGTGCTGCAAGTCGTTAGTGCGCTTGGCTGCTAACCAAAAGGTTGGAAGTTTGAGTCCACCTAGAGTGCTCGGAACATAAGCCTGACAATCTACTTTCAGAATATCAGCCATTGAAAACTGTGTGAAGCATGGTCTACTATGACACACATGGTGTCCTCATGACTTTGAATCAACACGATGGCAACAGATGTTCTAATAATACTTTATTTATAAAAACAACTGAGGGCTGGATTTAGCCATGGACTGTATATAGCTTGCTGTCCCCTGCTGTAGATGATGGGTAGTCTCTGGGTAAGAACGCATGAAGGGATTTATTTTTAATTATCACTTCGGTGACATTGTTCAGAATGGTTTAGATGGGAGCAGACTAATGAAGATATTATCATAACGGCCCAGCTGAGAGAGGGTGTAGGTCTGAAATAAAGGAATTACTTTGGAAATAGATTTAAAGGACTTACAACGTTTCCCAGGGCGTTCTTAACAGTATTTATCTGATGTTTGTAAATAAGTGTTAGTGAAAAATGAAGGTTCTGTGGTCAAGTATGTTTGGGAGATGTGTGGTAAAATGTAATTGAGCAGGCTTCTTTACTGTGTGGCTCTCTCAGAGAGGCAGTTTAAGCATATTAGAAAATTACTGCTTCTTGAAAGCATGAACGTGAAAGCAAGAGTCAATTTAATTTTCCAGGGAGTTGGGAGAGAACTCATTATTAGCACGTTTACCTCTAACTTTAGCTACAGTCAATGTTTTCTTAAAAAAGGTACTATGTTTGTGACCACGTAGTTTGCACATTTTGTTTATGATTTCTTTGTTTTTTAAAATTGTGCTTTGGTGCATATTTACAGAGCAAAGTTTGTTTTACATTCAACAGTTCACATGCATTTGATTTGATGCCCCAATTACCATTCCCAACCATAACACGTTCCCCTCCCCTCCTGTCCCTGTGACTACCCCCTCCCTGTGCCCTTTTTAACTATCACTCCTGTCTGTCTGGCTTTCCCTCTATGTGAATGCTGTCCCTCTGGTGCCCTGTGGCCAATTGCTCTAAGGGTATATCTCCCTAGAGTAGGTCGGTGCATTGCCTTGGGATAGGTATTCTGCATGTAGGTCTTTCTGCTGTTGGGCTGAGAGCAAATCTATAAGAGTGAGTCCAATTACAGTCCTGAAGGGGAATTCTGGACCATAGTCTTGGGGGTTCTACCAGACTCTATCTGACCA